TCTTTAGAGTTTGTTCGAGCGCATTTCATCTGTTTACCCGCTGCTAAAATTAAAAGCAGCTGCATGTTTTCCTCTAAGCCGACATCCTACCGGTAAAGTCCATTAAAATCTACTCTTAGCTGTTACAGTCAGTGATGAGCACCTGGAATACATGAACCGTAATATTAATTCCAATTAACATCAGTCCATCAAGAAATCTCCTGACTGGTACCCTTCTAAAGTACCAGGGCGAACCAATACGTACATCACTGACAAATCTCAAATCTTCCAATTTGTCCAGCTCTGTGCTGCATGTCATAAACTGAAACTATTACAGAATTATTGGCATTTTGTGTCAGCACAAACAACCGCATACCCTGGTATTTGCACTGTTATGTATTTGAAGCAGAAAGAAATAATTAACGTCAGTTTCAAATCACGGTGTGTATTTACATGTATGAGAGTTCTGCATGCCTACCGGGTATGCAGGCTTAAAATATCAAAGATTTTTATGCACTCCTTTATCATAATCAATCACATTTTTACGAGAATTTTTACGAGGGAGGTGCAATGCTGGGATGAGGTAAGTAGGCAAACTGGAATGCGCATGATACACTGTACATGTACCCTACGTCATTAATATCTTGCATCAATGGCTTCCCCTCTGCTATGTAAAGCATTTACACAAGAACATGGTTTCCTAGTATTAAATGAAAACTGAAATGACAATTTCATTATGAAATAATCACTGGACAAAATTACACATAGTGCAACTTTAATTATTTTGCTTCAGTTCTGCCAAATCCAAGAACCACTGCAAAAGAAGAATGTTTCCAAGTGAATGCTGTGCAGGGCAAATTATAATTTCCTTCTTCACAATGGATTTGAATGAACAGGACGCAAATTTATGTAAAATTTCAATAGATAGTGTATGTGACCTCCACAGAGTTCAGAACAAACACCCAGCTGCTGATCTAGTATCAAGTTTAACTTGATGTTAAAAGTGATGTTGAGGGGCAAATAATGATTGGTTTCTGCAATCCCAACTGTTCTATGTCAACACAGCTTATGTAGACACATATTGTCAAGATTAACCCTTAACTCTTTCAGGAAAAGTACCCAACCAAAGCCGAAATCCCACACTCTGTTGTCTGTTGCTTAATTCCAATCTCAGGCATTATGGAGATGATATCAGGGTTCTTCCCCCCTGAGGAGAGGCGATTCCAGTTTTTTTGACTCAGTCCACCTCTCCCCAAAAAGCACACACATCCACATTTACTGTTAAACAACAGTTCCAAAGAGTTTGTGCAATTACATAAATTCCAAAGGAGTTCAAATTTCTGACAAGTAAAAAAAATTCAAATTTCCCAAACATAAAAAATCAATTGTCTTAACAAATTGATATCCCTCTCATTTTTCAAAAACCTCTAACACATTTTGGTCCATTTTGTGCTATTGTTTTAAGAATGCTGACCACTCAGCTTGAATTTATTCCTCATTTACTTGGACTTAACAGCAGTAGAACATGTGCGATGTTAGTAACACTTTAATATTCCACAAAAATGGGCAAGATGGGGGAAGGGGGCTAGACACTTATTGTTCATGAAATGGCTTCTGATAGTAACCATAATACTAAGGTCGAGTTAGCCACAACTGTAAGATTCGAGTCTGATTGTACAGAGAGAATACACAAGATTGCCATGCCTGAAATGACACTCTACAATTTAGCTGGAAGCACTGAGTGATGACGAATGGAGACTTTGCATTCAGGCAATAACGCTTTGGCATCGCCTCACTGTACCTTGTAATTTATTCAACCTTTTCCGTCCAATGAGGGAAGTTCTGTGCTATTGGCACATAATGGTGCATTTGTGAAAGCAGTTATTTTCTTTTAGATTCGAAGGAACAATGTGATATTACATGTGATTTTCTGATCATGCATGCACATGACTGATACAGTTGAAGGCCATGTAGAGACGTCGTGTTAGAAGGAATGGTACATGTAACTAGGCTGCGCCAAACAAAATTAAACAAGCTTACATATTTTATACCGTGATTATCACGAATGCGTGCAGAATGCAAGAAAATGATTTTTTCCAGATGTGTAATAGCCAGATAAATACATCACTTTAAAGTAGTATTTGTGATAAAGAATATGCAGAATGATAACTGTAGATCAAGTTTTTGTCCATTTGAACCTACATGTATTTACACAAATTTCTTGCAGTGTCTTGGGCCATTTTTCGTAGAGCTGCAACGTGTAAAGCACTACTTAGCAAACAGATTTCACAATCAGCCCAACTTCTGCTGAGTACCAGTCACAGGCAAATATACTGTGCATATAATTTTGGCTGGTGACCTGCAGAGCAATAATTTTCTTTGTGTAGCAAATTTCTGTTCTGTACCCTTCCCACAAACATGTACACATACAACCTGATGATAACGTCTCGGTGCAAGCGAGCTTTTATTGGTCAATCAACTGGAAATTTCCAGAAACATACCACTAAATGTACCCAGTGTTTTGCTTTTACTGTGTCTGCTGTTACATGTAGATTTCTCAGTTTTACATACACAGATATTCTGTACATACCCCAGCTAGTACTGACATGTACATTTCAGAAATTTGCTGAGGAACATTTGATGAATTAATTAATCAATCCGGTAATACTCCAATTCAATGTAGCTGCATGTACATGTACGTAGATGTGTGTCTCTAGTTGGGCTATCAATACTGGTAAATCCACTTACATGTAATTACATGCAAAGCATCTGTAATTGAGCATGGTGTACAATGTACATAATTTAGACATTCTGTTTTATTTAGGACAATACAAAAGTACCAGCATGTGCATAGATTCAACTTAAATGTATTTGTTTTTGTTTGCTAGATAAAAATACATGTATATACATCTCAAAACAGACAAAAATGATGAAATGACAGTCATGCCCAGTGGATCCACAGGAAATTGAAATAAAATGGCCAATTATTTTAGGTTTACATAGTGAAGTTCTTGAAACTGCACAGGTGAGGTACATGCATCTCTGGAACGAACACTGCAAAGCTAGATATAATAGCTTCTACAGTTGCTTTGGGATTCTCTGGCCTACAGCAGTTTAAAGCAGTTGCCATGGTGATTTTCTCTGAAACATTTCATTCTGATAGCACGGTTGCATGTAATGTACATGTCACCAAGATTTGACATCCATCCAACTGAAGGGCAAATACTGGTATTTGTAAACGTTCTCATAAAATACTAAACAAAGAAAGATTCTGCATAAATGAATCTATTACACACGTCCTTGTACTGGTACATACATGTGGCTTACTTCTGACCCCAAATATGAGACAAATAGACAACGCACAAGAACTCCATATGGATATGTACAATGTACATGTATGTACATGTACCTATTGCACGATACAGACGCTTTAGGATCACCCATGAATAGCTTGGAGCATTCAAGTACACAATGTACATGTAATAACGTTTAGCGTGTATGGAGCTACGTGTGTAATAACGAAGCTGATAGTGTCGTGTGCACGGTCAGTGTAACCTAAAACTGTCAGCCGTCTCACTGCCATTACATTATGATCCAATTAATAATACATGCACCTGCTATCTACGGTGTTTGGCAGCATACTGTCAACTTTGAAGTTGACAACTGGTTGGTTTCTGTGTCTACAAGTACATGTACATGTCTCAGGATTCAATACCAGAATTTTTTACAACTTTTTGGCCAAAAAGCTGCCTGAATCTAGTAAAATCTACTCTGGTGAGACTGAGTATTGACTTGATGGAAATTCTTTGCAATTCGAACCAATTTTGAAAGTATGCAATCCTGTCACTATAATGTCTTGTATCTTACAAGATCAAGATAAACCAGTTTGATTTGAATAGACTTTGTACGCTTAGAACGCTTAAGATTTACAGAGACTCTGGAAAATACCAGTCTTTAATTCAAAGTAGCAAAGCATGTGACATTGGCGTTGAGTTCTGTAGGCCTACAATGTACATGTACATGTACATATAGTCTGATTCAGCAGGCATCATACCGGTACTTTTTCACTGTGGGTTCCACTTGATTTTGTTCAATTATGAAAGGTTTCACATTTTACTATAAATGTACCGGTATATATATACATGTACGTATAGGATTCTGTTAGATTTGACATGCTCAAGACTTTGCTCTTCAATGAAAGCTTTAACTGCATTGTCATTTGATTCACGAGAAAAGACTACAGCCTTTTCATACTCCATGTAAATGACCAATGTCCAGACACAATCACAGCGAAATTCAGCCCAACTGTAATCAGTGATGTGCTCGAGTCCCCCTCATCTGAGTCCAAGCCAAGCTGCATCATGAAGGCTCTAGTCAAAGTTTCTGTCAGAATATGGCTAAAACTAATTTCCAAACTGTCACTAAAAAGCATGCTCCAAAGCCGGTTGTGAAAGCACTATCAGAGCACAACACATTTACTGGTCAGATTAAAAAATTATTATTTATGTACATGTACATTTGGCCAAATTACAAGAACACTTGCTTACACGTAACTCGTTTTCAGGCAGTCTGTTTTCAAGGTTAATGTATCCTCTTTGAAATTTGTCTTTTCTTCGTAGTGGTCTAACGACTTACATGTATTTGGTCAAAGCTTGTAACTGATATTTTTCTATTCACTTCTACACGTACATGTAATACTTTTGCATTTGAAACAAAACAAAGCAAAGGCAACATGCAAGAACTTTTATTTGTATCATTTTATCTTGAATTTCTTTTCAACTTCTACCAGTATTTTCAAAGCGTCTGTTATCCAACACCTTTTATTCACAGAAACAAAAAAACACACACCAAAATTTGAGATATAAATGATAAGTGAGTAGGAGAGATCTTTTAGACTGTAATACTTTCCTATAATCTGCTCTGGCATCAGATATCGTTTCAGTCAACTATTCATATTGTATCGAGTGCTTAGTGTTCGTGTAAATAATAATTCCTTTCTACCAGAGCTAGATGGTCTTGGGCATTGCCCTTTCAATGTTCCAATCTACAATATACATGTAATGTCTACACTGGAAATCCTCATAAATGAAATTCCTGTGAGGTGTCCAATTGGTTTGTCACCATTTTGTGTAGAAATCGAACAGTTTGCTTGGTAACCAGCAAGGTGATATACCTGGTATCCAGCTTTTTGTGTAGAAATCGAACAGTTTGCTTGGTAACCAGCAAGGTGATATACCGGGTATCCAGCTTTTTGTGTAGAAATCGAATAGTTTGTTGGTAACCAGCAAGGTGATATACCGTGTATCCAGCTTTGACACCTTCCAATAAATGATGCTATGTTTTGAATTCCCTTGCTCACACTTTAGAAATGCCCACACAGGCCTACCGGCTAACTTGAACCACTAAATTTTGAATCACCATTAGAGTAACAAGTAGCGTTTACCATTAGAAATGGTGAGGGTACCGGTATGTGTAAACCACTTGGAAAACGGTACATTTATATCATTGCTTTGTGCAGTTATTTCAAAACCTACACGTACATGTGCGTACAGACGAGCATATTGATATGAAATGTACAATGCTTACAGTGTGTGGGATAAAATAACCTCCTAGTGTTTACCAACTGCCTTTATGTATGAATCCCTATACATGTACATGTAAGTAAACCAGGTCAGCCCTTGGTCTTACCTGTATCATGTAGAGCTGGGCTATCCGATATTCCTCCACACTGAGTGGTAGGGGGATGCGATATTCTTTGATCAACATGGCTGATGGCTAACTAATTGCCTTCCCCCTGAGTACGTCAGTCTTAGCTACTGCTACATTGATGGTGCTCTGGTGATAATCTGCCCTTTAGATCAAACGAAAATTGACAAAAGAATGGCTTACATGTAGTTGTTATCAAAATCATCAATGACTTCATTTGATGTTTTCAAAAATGAGGAAGGCTTACACAGGCATTGTACAAGTCCTTGGAGACCAAAAACGTTTTTTAAACTGTAGAAATCAAGCTACCGATGACTGGTCCCGCTACATGTACTATTTAGTGAAAAAAAAATGAACAGAGCAAAACAGAAAGAAACTAAAAAAAAAAACAACCGGCAATGATTTTGGTGGAGCTGCTGAGCCGTGTGACTTTTCACATAATGTAGACTGAAAGAGAAGAATATGGATAAACAATGCATCTCTTTACCTGCATTTCCCTCTACATTCTTAACTTACCACAGCAGAATTTGCAATGTCTTAAAATTTCTTAGCAAATTCTTTTCTGAACCTGAAGAGTCCTTCAAGCTTGCAAGCATTTCCACAATCTTCCTACAAGAAAATATTTCACATACATGTACTGTACATGTACCGGTAATTTACAAACTTGTGCCGAGTTACAAGTACTGAACCTCATGAGGACACTATCGATCACTCTGTTCCAACAACATACATGTAGATAATACATGTACTTAAAAGTCTTGTTCTTGTATTTAAAGAGTTTGTTCTCCATGTACATGAACATATACATGTACCAGTAGCTGTTTGATTCTGTTAGAAACTGTTGGAAATGGGACAGCTGGAATCGATGTACATGTACATGTACATGTATAATGTACATGTTCTTGAAATAAGGTGGGATGTGGTACACACTTTCCTTCTTGATAAGGGAAATGTTACAAACTGCATTTATCACAAGAAGGTATCAGAAGTGTGTGACAAATTGCCTCTGGCTGATGCAATGCATGCCTACGACAGGATGTGAGTAAACTCGCTAAGTCTTTACAAGGGTAATGCATGTAGATGCACCCCAGTAATGGTGCTCAAATGTGGGCCTGGACTGTCTGTCACCAGTTGGTGGAAACTTGTGCATGGAATGATTAGCATGGTTCTTTTTACTACCGGTAGAATGGGTAACCAACATATACATGATGTACATGTACATTTGTACCTGTGCCTCAGTCCATTCCAATGCAATCGTATACAGTTGCATGTGCAAAGCGGTACATGTACACCTATACGGGCAAAATAATCTACATGTAGTTTTAATGGAAACTGTTTATCTGCACAGATTAAATCTAGGATTGTCCAGAACCCTCCCACTTATAGATTAGTTCCAGCTTCAGTGCTTGTTTGAATAAAACACACTGACGTACCGGTAGAGCGTTGAAATGTAGTGACAAACAAGAAACGGTTCACTACTATATTCATGTGACATGTCTGAATACTACATTAAAGAGCTGACATGTTTGGGCTTAATGTAGTTGAGGAGGTTGCAAAGCATCGAAAATGCAACAGTCCAAATATAACACACTGGAAGGCAGTGAAAATATTAAAATGAAACAGGTTCCACACTCACCAGCCTCTCAACGACTATCAGCATAGTGACACTGTGATAACAATGCAGAATCAGAAGTGAACAACTCAGGTCTTGCGACAGCCATTACACATCCGTTTCTGACATGACGAGCTGTGCTTGATCTCCTATTTAACTGTCTTGCCCACAGGAAGCCAAAAAAATTGCAAGGGTGGGAAATGCTTCAAAAAACCCGAAGGATCTTTTCCACAGAAAAAACTCTGTCATCTGCGAGGTGAGCTGCCTTATAAGGCCATCTTCCCTTCCTCCGAATTCCAAATTTGGTGGCCGTCACAGATTATCAGAACTACCTTGGGAGCTCTCCCCGGAGGTTGGGTTGCTATGGCAATGACACACGTTGGAAATGGCTCGCCTGGAGACGGGAGAAGTTAGTTGCGATGCGACTACCTGCAGAACGAGGCTCAGGCTGAGAATGAAGGCTGAGAACAGAAAAAGGAGGGGATAAAAAGGAAGAGAAAGACAAAATTATCATTTATGGGACCATTTGACATTTGGAGTTCACAGACCAATTTTAGTTTGTTGCAGAGACACATGTATGCATGTACAGGTACGGTGCTTGGTTTGAACACTGTTCCAGTTTGAAGTGAGGGATGGATTAAAAATGGGCAAAGATTATGGTCAAAAAAGGTAAATTTAATCGACTGCTCACTAAAACTGAGCTCATAAGCATGTTGACAGCACAAGATACATGTATATATCAGTGCTGATAAATTACACCACACTGATCAAGGGTAAAGTGCAATGCTGAATTTTAAAATGAATGGTGGTTGAAAAAACAAATGCAGACAAGTAAAAGGGTTTGCAGCCCAAGTAATAAACAGACCTAACACTGTAATGCATAAGACTTGTCAATGTACATGTACGTACATGTACATTCAGTGCCCGTGTCTTACTGTTTTGTCAGGCACCGACACAGGTCCTGACGCAAAGAAGAAATTTATTTAAGCTACTTGCATGTTGCACACATTCTATGCATGACTCCTACAAATACAAGTCTGGAAAACAGGTTCACTGAATATTTCATTTTGTATCAGTAATGCTGTCAGAGTTTCATGTACTTTAACTGTTACATGTACCTGCATCAATTTTCATGTGGAGACTGTGCTTTCTGAGTTTTAATTCTGAATCATCCAATTTTTCTAATTGATGGACAGCCCTGAGCAGTGTGACCTTCCATTAATTAACAACACTGAGTCTTTTCTTACAAATCTGCCACAGCATAGTTTTCCCAGCTGGAATAAAAGACCTCTACTAGTACATTCCCTGTCCACTACTGAAACTGATTTTATGGCAGATACGTTAACAGCGAGCACAATGAAGAAGAAAAAAAAACCTGAAAGTGAGAGATAAAGTCACCTGTGTAATACTGTTACAGCAATAAATAATAATCCTACAGGCTGGCAGACTTGGTGTGGCCAAGCGAAACCTGAAATTACCCAGGGGGCTGGTGTGGAAATTATTCTAGCACCAGCCCTGTTTTTTTAAAATCAACGCAGATCTCTTTTACATGTATAATGTACTGTACATGTACAATACAACTGTACATGTACATTATGTGCATGTACATACATGCATATGGTCCAACAGTCAGATTTTTTTGGGGGGGGGTTGGGTGGGAGTAGTTAACCACTTTATTGTACTGGTAAATGTCAAACAAAGGCATTCCATATACTGTGTACATACTGTACACTACTCCAAAAGTTAGGGACCACTTTTTCCTTAACTTGTAATTTTTTTCCAAGCAATGAATGGGGTATACTTCTTTCATTTTTTGTCTGTCTAGATGGTGTTTCAAAACATGAAATTCACATTTTTCAGTGGTAAAGTACTGGTTTCTCACATAAAAAAGTATACACCGAAGAAAAAGTGGTCGTTAACTTTGTTTGAATAGGGTATCTAATTCAGGGAGACGAAGTGGTTCTTGTTGTCCTCACACGTGTACATGTAAAACACTTTTACATGTAATGTTGGAGAGTGTTTGGTCTTATGAATGCTAACCCTTTCTTCAGTTCTTTACAACATCTCACAGAAAAAACTTCAACACCTGACTAATTTAAAAGTAAACAATGAGTGAATAATGACCGCACTCAAATTTGGGCCAATATCGCGGGCATTTTGAACATCTATAGTTTTAGGACCCTGGCGAGCCTTGACAGCCAATGCAAGTGCACGGATGTGAATGGAAGCAGTACAGGGCTGCACTTAACTTTTATGGACTAACAGACACTAACATTTCCTGTAACCAGAAGACACATTCTATTATTGGTTATGTGAATTTTTACCTCTTTAACAACTTCAACTTCAGCCCTGGCTCAGTGAGCATTATCTTCATAAATGTGAAATTTTATAACCCTACACCTTAAAAATCAGCAGCAGGGGAGCCTCAAACCAGCTCCAGAGCTTGCCCTCTTCTGAGCTTTTAACCCAAAATCTGTATATCAGCAATATAGGTTTTTCTAAGCAGCTGCATGACACTGCAAGGCCCAAGTGTAATCCAAACGGCTCCTATGCAGGAAAACTAGTAAGCAACTTTATGTACTACATTATAAGTAAACGCAGTGAGGAAGCAGTTGCAAGAAGTACCGCTATACGATCTGTGATATTTTGGCTGGTAAACTCTCTTTACTAAGCAGATATTCTCTGTGCTTAGCATACCAGTATTTATAAGCTTAGTACTTAAATAGATAGTGTTATAGATGTAACGGCACATGTACCTGAACCTCAAGGCTTGAGTAAAGATTGGCGAGAGGGAAATTCTCTACAATTGGGACTACTGGTGTAAGAATATTTTTGTTGTAGATGGGTGCAGACCACTAATTCAAGTGAGAATTTCTGGCCAGCACATTAGCATTAAAAGTGCCCTCACAGTATCTTCTGAAAAAGGAGATTGTTTGGCCCCCAAAATGGTGAGATTGTGTAAATCGTCGCCAGGATAAACTCCCTGGGTATTTGAGCTTTCATATGAGAGCAGATGGGCTAAAAACTACAGTTGAAAAATCGTCCCAAGTGCCCGAGAAAGTTGAGGGTTTCTACTTGAAAAATGGCTGCAATCAGACTTCAGAAAAATCATTTTTGGGGGGGGGGGGTGATTTTGTTTTGTGGGAATAATTAAAAATGTAATTGGTTAACCCACAAAAAATTGAAAAGAAATTGAAAGATTAGGGAGCAGACAAGAATTTCATTTGTGTTTCAGAAATCTCAGGGATGTTGGAGTGCATGTTATTGGGCTCTGAACAGTGCTGATTTTACATCGTTTTCAATGGGGCTTGAATTAGTGGACTATACCCAGATTGATGCCAAGAATGCAACATGGAGACAAGATACTTGTATTAAGACAAGTTCACAGTCTCTTCACAATGATCACAATGTTGAACCTGCAGATTAAGGCTGTGTTGAATATCCGAATATTTCATCGATTATCGAATATTTGAATCTTATTTTTCGAATTTGAATATATTAGAATGCAAAATTCATGAAAAGGAAGGGAAAATGTTGTTTTGTTTTTACATGTACCGGTAAATGAGAAAAATTGCATATGGAGGCTTGTTTCAAGCAGATTCAAATGAAAAGTGACAGAAATCTTACAATAATTCAAATAGTATATTATTCATTAAACTATTTAAGGGAATAGAAATTTATAACAGAGCAAGAAGTATTGTTCATCTCTTAAATCTTGCTAAATCCTGGCTAGAGATACTCCTAGATGTGAGAAGCTATTATAGTGATTATAATGTGCAATTGTGTGTGTTATTGCAACTGATTTAGTATATGGGTTGTTCATTAACAATCAGCCGATCAGTACGACCAAATATTCAGATATTCGATCAGATTGAAGGTCGAATATTTCGAATAGTGAATTATTCGAATTGACTCAGCCCTACTTCAGATACTGATATGTACATGTACGTATACATGTAGATGTACAGTACAATTATGTATAAATGTTTGTAAAATTTTGTGCTGAACTGATGGCGAGACTGCTGCATTATGTGAAAAGGCAAGATGCTGGAAACATGTACATGTGCTTTTGAAAAATTTGGCTCGGACAGTGAAACCATTAATAGGTCCAATCCAATTTCCATGCATTTTACAAGGAGGCCAACATTTTAATCTATGTGTAATACACGTAACAGACAGTCATCACATACATGTACATGTCCATGTACGGGTAATTAAGACTCTCGCAAATGAACAAAATATGAACTGAATACCATAATTCTCAAGATTGAAAATCTTTTTCATACATGTCCTAAAATAAAAAAAATTCAACTAATTTAGGATCACAATTGGGACTCTGCATTAACATTCCAGCATATGATACTCACAATGAATGCATGAACAGATGACTTGCTAAAAGATTTCTTAACACAGCGGTTTATCCAGATGATATCCCGAGCTTGATCCTACCGGTAATGTCAAACCAACCCATGTAATGAGACAAACACGGTATACCAAGATTAACAAAACACACGCCAGTGGTAAAGCATCCAGTGATCCACTGTCAGTGCCTGTGATGTCCGTTGAAAATGTTCATCTAGCTCAGCTGATTAGACCAGTGAACACACGGCAGTCACATCACAACTTCCTTCAGCATCTTCGCCCGATGATAACAACACAATGCCCACGCGTTTATGACCTAATGTAATTCCCTGGGTATGGAAGGGGCCCCAACCGCAGTCACCGCACAAGGCTGACCCCAGCGGGTGACCTCTGGCATTTAGGAATAGAGCTGGAGAGATGAGCTGATGGTGGATGTGAGAGATGCGGCAGGGAAAAAGGGAGGACGTGTTCATCAGTTACAGCTAGAGCTAGACGTGCATTCAAGTCCTCTATTTATTCATAAAAATGGGATGAAATGTCTGGATATGGTCATTATCAAACTGTTCCGCATGGATGTATACAGAAAATCTTTCCCAAAAATGCAGTTCCCAGAAACTGTATAAAGAGGCATTTACCAAATCATGTTGTTATTTACTTTCCTCCAATCACTCTACTATCCTGTTCAAATATTTAAGGAACTGATTTTGGGATTTATGTTGATTACAAAAACTGTAAAGTTTTCCATTTCAGTGACTTACGTGTTCATGTCGTCAAATAAGTTAAAGGGAATTTCTTTCACATTTCATACTCAGTGAAGCTCTGTTGATAACTTTTTCCCGGCTTGTATTTCCCTGTACAAACCCCGAAATTTATACAAACCCCGAAATTTATACAAGATTCAACAAATGTACGGTAATTTGTCAGGTGCTCGATAATTTTTACTCATTTCTGAAGTATAATTACATGTACATGTACACTACATGTAATTTATTTCATATTTCATTGTGACTGTTCCCATTGCTTAAAGACGAGAAAGCCAACTTGTATTTCAGGAGAGCCATTTCCCTCTTTTTGGAGCTGAAGTGCAAGAAATAATGACAGGAAAGAGTAGGCAGAACCCGTGGAACAGATTCAAGGTGAAAACCTTGGCAACAATGGAAACAATCCCTGTGTGGGTGTATAAACTTATTTTGACTCCAAAAACATAAGCTGACAACCACATGAGGGTTTTTGACCTGCACAGATTGTTTTTAATGAAGGAAATGAGAGTAGCAGCATCTAACGCAACAAAACAGAAGCACAGCGCACATGTACATGTATACATTTACACACCTACTGAGTGTACACTTACTAGGCATTGAGCGATTTTTGTAGAAAAAAGTTTGAGTCACTTTTTTGGAGAAAAAAAAAATTTTTTTGCACACCTTGGCCCCAAACCTGGAGACAGTGGCAGGGAGTCCGTCTTATTTTTGAAAACCTCATGGGCATTTCCATGTAAAAAAGGAAAATGGACTCAAATTTTTTTTCACCAAGTTTTTTAATTTGGTTGTAGTTTTACAATAGCATATTGACTAAAGCTATGGAAAAACATCTTTAATCTTTGCTGGCTTTTTAACTTGAAAATTCACCTTTTAAACATTATGTGTGGTGATTATTTATTTTTGACATATCAAAAGAGCTACATGTATTACACATTCCTCCTAAACAACCCCATTTTAATTTTCATGCCGAGTTCAAAGTTGGATATAGTTTCATGACAGCATTTTCTCATTACATTTTATGACAAACATTCCCTTTCTATTCTAGCTTTATCAGAACAGACCCGGTCAATCAAGTGGTGGTATGTAACGCGAGTCACATGATACACAAAAAGTTAACTGTATACCAAAACCCCAGGGGTATTGAGTTTGCCAATGAAGGCTTCAGTGTGCAACAAACCAAATTACAACAACAATAACCCTAGGTTTTCTGCCTAGGATAATATATCTAGCACTGAAAGTTGGTAAAACGAGTCACATGTAATGCGAGTCACAGCATTTAGCGGTAGGGTAACGTGCATCACAGTTTAAACTGCGGTAGTTACAGTGCTCGTTTTCTTTTCATCAGTGCCCATTGTTTTCTAAAGTTTACTGGCATCTTAAATAGAGGGCAGCAGATAATATTTCCATAATTCCATAGTTACACCGGTTCCTGTTAGTTTTGCAACATTCCTCGTTTACATACCGGTACATAAAATTGGGCAGAAAAACAAAAGATTTGCATCTGTCATCATCTATCTGAAACAAAGGTAAGTACATGTAACTTTCTCACAAAAACATATCAATAGGGGTGAAAACTGAAGTACAAGTAAAACTTTGCTCAAAGTGAAAGTAAATAATGAGGGAAAATGGGGCACAAATTGCTCCAATTGTAGAATTTGGACAAATGAAATGCATGCAACTCTATGTAGCATGACCTCCATGGTTATTGCAATACATGTAACTACATGTACATGTAGCCAGATTATACACAATGTAGCATATACCAGTAAATTGTTCTGTTTTATTTTTAGCCTTATTTTTCTCTTTCTGCATTTGAAGTGTCATTTAGAAAGACGTACTAGGCCTAAAACAGGTGACAATATTACTTACTAGCACTTGGCATATACATGTACATGTACCTGTATTGCTGAACGACATTGTAGTAAAATGGTTAAGGAGCAATTTTTCATAAACCACACATAAAGTGATTTAAGAGCCGACTGTTTTCCACAACCCAGCAGAAGTGTCTGCAGGGTCACCTTTGATAATTTGTATCCCATGACATTATACATGTTTACTAATGCCACATAATCCAAGGAATCAATGTGACAGTGCATGAAATGTTCAAATTTGTATATATTTCACAAATATAAATTACAAGGACATACGCGTACATGTTTGTACTAAATATTTTAATGTATATCATTTTAGGTGATGTAGAAATGGTATTGAGTTGTGAGTTTCAGATAACAATTCAATGTTTTCTCCAATTCATAGTTTGAGATGAAATTTCATTTAAACCTAAGCCGATTTTTCTGCTTTCCTTTTTGTGTAAAGTGAGTCATGCTATAATTACAATGCAATAAAAGGGTTGTTATCTATTGAAATCATTTTTTGTTTGTGTTATTTTATACCAAGTGTCAGTAAGTACCTGCACAAAGTAAGTGGAATTTTTAACTGCTACATTTCAGTATGTGTGGGGTTATAAAAGTTTCAAAATGAACTAAAATGTAACACGAGTCACAGTGGAAATGCCCTCATACATATCCATGTCCCTGTGATTCTTGGGAACATTATGACTGCCATCACTGAGGCTTCAGAATCCTATTTAAAATGTGACCGGTAGGCTTAGTGCACACGAGCAAGACATTATTTTTCCTGATCTTGTGGATCTACATGTACATGTGTATACATGTACTGTATATATACACGTACAATGTACAGTATACCGATACACGCAAGTGTCCTTGTGTATCAACTTCAAGCACAGTAATACTAAAGCAGAGTTTTCACAGATACCAATGGTCAACCTGTGCGTCAGGTGTTTCAAACCATAATAAAAGCTTCCCTGACCAGACCAACTCATTTTTTGTTGTTGAATGCATGAAAGGGAACTTTTATGGATCAACACAATATAAACAATTTCATCAGTGAGCGAATGGCAAGGCCCGATGTCAACAGAAAGTTTCAAAGAAAGAGGTTTGGGTGCATGCTTTGCCCGCCTACATGCATGACACAGGCCTTGACCTTAGCACGAGACTGGCTTACAAATTCTAGCAAAAGGTGCTGAAGGCAAGAACTGCACAATGCATTCTTTCTCTTGGCCAGCAGGTTAGTGAAGCAATCATCTAATGGGTCATTCTATAAATTTGGGGTCTAATTTTTTTCATGTCGCTTGTCACATCTGATTTTGTAAGTACACATTTTCTAATTTCCAAGAGTGATAAATTGACGCAAATTACCAGCCAAACAACTAGTATAATAGTTTGAAATCAATTTCATTTACATTTCCACATATCAAATTACACAGGGCAGGTGTAACAGGGACACAAAAAGTCACACTTTTGGATCCTGAATTTATAAAATGACCCCAATCTACCTGTTTTAAAATGTCGTTTGTCACAACAGTATATGTAAAGATGAATAAAACCATTAATGTGAAATCGATTACACATGTTACGTATTAAAGTTAGTTTTCAATCCTCCACTTGACAGCAAGACTCCACAGTGATGGTTGAAATTATGAAATTAAATAATGCCTGTCAAAGTTAATTTTGCTAAAAAATATCCAGTGGGCGAGCAAAAATTTCTGCAGGCTCTTACCTTTTGTATAAAAATAAGCTAAATTGCCCAGCAGGCTAGTTAAAAAACAAAGCTTAAGGTCGAAGCCTGATGACATCACATGATAGGATCTACCGGTACTGTAGGTGAGAAAAATCCACAGTAGAGACTTGGTCAAGTTTAACCTGCTGGAAGACGAATAGTGAGGAAAATCGTATGTCTAACAGAGGCCATCATCACCACAAACACGTATGCAGATCCATACCTCACATGCATACATGTATTAAGAATTCATAGTGCAAAGAACATCTTGTTCATGGTGCAATTTTTAATACGCAGACTGTTTTTCCTAGTTGAGACAAAGAAGCCTAGAATGACTCATTTTGTTTTTCAGCGATCCAGTAGACTGTCTAGTATTTCACAGACAGATGGTTTTACCTGTCCAGATTTCCTGAAATACACCGCTAACCAAGATGGAATAGAATTCTATACTTCATGAGAGATTAACAGCCAATGGGTCAGGAACATCACCTAGAGAGAGATGTAATTTCCTAATTACAGTGTAACATCCATGCACACAAACATTTTTCACAGTCCTCAAAGAAATGAAACTCTGATAAATATTAACTAATCAAATTTAGCAAATAATAAACGCATTAATTCTCATTGGTAAATAGTCTAACATGGGCAATGCCTTTTGCAACACGTACTTGTACAAGTTGACCATTTCATTATAAATTTGGTTAGCATTTGACATACACATGTGCACAAGAAACAAGTGACACATCTTACAAACATACCCGCTACCTGTGCATGGAATGTGTTTTCTTTTTTAAAATGAGGTTTATTAATATTAAAGCTTGGCGATAAGATCACAAATCGTCACCGTTTTCACAAAGAGGGGAATTTCTCACCACAGGGTAAACCCTCGGTTTCAAGAAAATCACAATTGAAAATGGTCTCTTTTGCAAACACTTATTTCTTCAGTCTTTAGCCTTCCTTTGACTTTACCAAGGCTACTTCATGAAAGAGGTGATCTTAAATGACCAAAAACTGCATACAAGTCAATAAATATTCTTATTTTGTAAACAAACAAATTTGCCTCTTTGTGAGAATGCTAACGTTTGAGCGACTTTTGTCTATTGGTAAAAATGCGCAAAATTGTTACATGTACATGTACATGTGTACCTTTCCGGTGTCAAAATTGCCTTTTCGTGAAATCAGCGAAACAAGTTTTTTCACGAATTTGCCCTTTATTGCTTACGCTACATGTATATTTATGGAAGACAAATTCATCTCTTCGTGAAAATGCAAACAAATTCGCCCTAGGTACTGTAGATTTTCATGAGTTGGCTGATTTCAGTAGATTCCGTCAAATATGATTACACCAAGCTGAAGGCAGTGCAGAGCCTATTTGATTTTGCCAAAAAACCCAGAAATTTTTAAAAAATCATAATTTGGGACAAAAGTGTCTCTTTGTGAAAATGATAACAATATCTTACTTGGTAAAATAAATTGTAAACTACTGGTATGAAAATTACTGGTGAATGTAAACAAGGCTTAGACAAATGTAAACTTCATACAGTATAAACATACACATACTCTAATTAAAGCATAGTCAAAAGCATTTATAGTCAAAATCAAAAACACAATTCCATAAATGAATGTTTACAGACTGAATTGATGATGTGGTCACCTGTGGGGTACAAGTTCATCTTCAAAACAATCCCATCCTACAAGACAATGGCATTTCCAAGTGAAACTGCACCAACCACCGTCTTGCTTGCATTGATTGCTTCTGTAGCTAAACAGGAACGGTTAATTGTAGGAAGGAATTTTGCCACAGTGCACATGGGTGAAATAGGACGGGCTGAATTACATGTTCACAGAATCAACATGTAAGCCAAATCAGGGAGATTGACACAGACTTTGAACACTTCAGGGTGAATACACATGTACATGTAGTAACAATGACAGAAGTCAACACTGCAGTCACAAACAGGGGTGAAGATTTTGCCTACCGGTGTGTGTTTTATAAACCCTAGTTACCCAGAATGTACATGTATTCAGTGTTTTCTGAAAATTTGTAAAAATATTCATTTAACCTTACTGCGGTGGGATTCGAACCCTCCACCTCCGGCTAACTCCTAAGGCCAAATAAAAAATGGAATCAGGGTGAACTTCGCTGCATGTACACACATACATAGACACATGTATGCATCTTGCGCATTCACAAATGTACATTTAGAAAAAAAAGTCACAAAATTCCCATTCAAATGGTTGATGAGAGGGTACACTAATCATTTATGGGTGGAAGCTGGGGCATGTACTAGTACATGTACATGTATGTACTGAAGTGATACATTACATGTATGTATTTTTTTTAAACATAATTAGAGTTCAACTCAAGTGAGAAAAATCTCTTCAAATCACCTCCCCCCCAACAAAATGTCACCCTCTGTGTTGAACAAATGAGTGTTTACCACCTTGGATAGTCACAGACAAACCACATGTTTTTGAGACTACACATTTCTAATCACAGGATGGAAATCGTCCCCCAAAACTCGTAGAGCATTTATATAGGCCTACCGTATCTTGACAAACACCGACCTTTGGTTAATGAACCTCTAATTGCAGGAAATACAGGAAACAGGTCTGCTGGTACTCCGCAATGCGTTTACCGACAGCATGTTATTACTTCCCAATGCTGCTTTATCACATCTGTGAAATTTGACCAATGCAGGAAGCTGTCAAACCACCGTCACCATGGTGTGAACCAATAATATTTGGATCCATGTATCTGTATGAACATCACACGTAGGAAACCAGCAGTGGGGGTGTATAGTTTGGAATCTATTAAAATAATGTAAAACCAGTAAAAAAAAAATCAGGCCAATTTGGAGTGGCTGCAATTCTGGTTTCTACTGTACATGTACAGTAGAAGCAAAGTAGAAAGCACATGTCCATGTATTTCAACCATGATGAACAAACATGTGCCATGGCAATTTAAATACCACCAACAGTGTTTGGCTATGGTTACATATGTGCGAGCTTACAATGTATGAAGCCCAGTCTATGGATCACTTGTGCACTGTCGGTAATTTTCTTTCTTTTCTTGTCAGCAATGAGGAGTCATTGCCGGTAACAATGTGAGTTCTATTGACATCTGTTTGAGTAATGCCATAAACATGGCTCTTTTGTTGAAAATGGCAGGCATTCTTCTTGTGTATGGCATGGACAGCCTATAATTTCGGGTCAAGGGTGGTCATTTAATCCAAGGCAGCATTGGTCACTTTATGGTCACTATACTGTGGGGGGGGGAGCTTTAGTGGACTGTCATTTACCATGTGTTAAATAGACTGGTCTTGGTGGCCACATCTATCTGTCACCCATCACTTAAATAGCAGTACATCTGTTCTTGTCTGAAGGGTCTGAATTCTGTTCAAGGTTAACTATTGCTTTCTGCTGAGGTCAACCCAAGGTGGTTTATCATGTGCGTAGTGATAATGTTATGACTTCTCCATTGCTGGGTTTGGCATCTTCCTAAGCTCTGCACAATTCAGTCTTTGTGCAAAAGCCATATGTTTGTGGAATGATTAAAACCTCTACCATTAGCATGCCATGCGCTAGGCACATTTTGCAAAACTTGCCTGAAGACACCAATTTTCTTACATATTGCTCGTCACAGTGTATTGCAAAATTATTGGCTAAATCATGATTTCAGCATTATCCAAAAATTACATGTAAGAAGTCAAAAAATGGTAAACCTAACACTGAGCCAAATATAGCAACTTGGCCCAAAAAAATTGGGAATTATTCATTAGGGGAAGAGTTCCATTCAGACAACATTTACTTTACCCTACAGTTGTCAGGCTGTACATCAGCCATCATCAGAAAGCAATAACATGTCCTAAAGAGTCAATTTTAGATGGGGGGAGTCAGGTTGGCGTAGTGGTTCTTTCCTCGCCTTCCACCTCTGTGGCCCGGGTTCGAATCCCGGCCTGGTCCACATGTGGATTGGGTTTTCAGTCCCTACCTGACTCTGTGGGTTTTACCCAGAATATTCCTCTGGGGTTTTCCTCCCACCTCTAAAACTGTAAGGCCTACATGTAACTGCTTCTTATTTCAATGTGCCTGAGTCTTCAAGTACATGAAGTCGGCGTATCACTTAAAGGAAGAAGAAACAAAGGCAGAAAAATATCAAAGCATTACTTAGAAAATAATTAGATTTTCTCAGACCAGTCTCGTAGGACTTTGCTTTGCACGGTATGTCAAGCAGAATCTGTATCCAGTAGCATTCTTTCAAGATAACTGTAAACAGGTTGGAGTCATGAATGTTGTAACCAGTCACTAAATTTGGTGACTCGAGGTCAGTCATTTTAACATTGTGCCTTGAGTCAAGTTGAGTCACTACATGTACATGTAGGTCAAGAAGTCAAGTTGAGTCACTTTGTGTAGTCAAGTAATGTACTTGAGTTAAGTCTCCATGAGAGATTCGAGTTGAGTTATTTGGTCGCAGAGACTTGAGTCATTTACCCGTTGAGGCTCGAGTCAAGTCGAGTTGCCAAAAATTGTGATTTGCGTCGAACTCAAGTTGAGTCATTGACCCAACATGCTCGAGTAATTAGAACTTTGGGTCATATCACAGCACTGTTCTCATGGTCCAGTAGGCTGTAGGTTGTACTATACATGTGTATATGTAGTCTGTAGGCCTCGCCCTGCGGCTGAACAATATCCACTGAACCATAGTCTAAGGCCTAGTACTAGGGGTCGAGGCCTAAATAAATCAATGAAGGCCTAGGCCTACCGGTACCATGCATGTTTGGCAAGCATTGGCAGCTGACATAGTGGAGTCTTCATCAACCCTAAAACTTCTCTGAATTTCTGTAATGTCACCGACAACTCATAAGTCTTCCAAAGCACAGGTTCCGGCTTCAGTTTGACGTTAACCAAAGCCTTTCCTCTGTATAAAACATCATAACATTGTCTGAATAAATCTGAACCACGATACTCACCCAAGGACGGCTTGCACTGCAGTTGCACTGATTTCAACTCGTACTCGTACTACCAAAACGCTGCCAAACATGTATGTCCATGTGCCACGGGATTCTTTGATCATACTGTGAGTCCATGTACTGTACGTACGTGTATGTATGTACCTGTGGATCGCGCCCACAAGTCGCACCCAAAAGAGGGCGCAATCCATCCTTAACGGAGACAAGGCCGTTTTCCAATACTCAACTTCGTCTCCGTCTCAGGCTTCATGTAGGAAACCAATCCTCGATTGTGGGCCTGAAGCGTTTAACCTAAATAGGCTAGTAATGTTTTGTGGCACTATCGGACTTACTATTGCACTTACGACCTCAAAGTCAGGAAGTAAAAAAGTTGAAGCCTGAGACGGAGCCCAAGACGAGTATTGGAAAACAAGTGACCCAGATTTTTTTGGCCCGACTTTTGTCTCAAAAAAATGTGGTACATCCATATATCAGCAGTGGCCTTTGAAACCTTTCACAGTTTTCAAAAACAATCTCGCACAGCAGTTACAAAATAACTTCTTAATGGTTAAATTGGAGATTTCTTCATTTTTTTTTCTCAACTGGGAGTGTGATGAGAAGTTTTTTCACTAGGGAATATAATAAAATATTCTTAAGTCCGAAAAAAGCTAGATTCAAATGTAAAAATTCAATTTTGCTGACTGAACGTTTCCTACTTGTAGTGTACAATTGATCATTTTCAAGATGGGTACACAATGTAAATTCTTGTTATTTTTAATGTGATTTTTAAGGGGTACCCCGTGAAGCCAAAGAGAAGACAAACACACGACCATGAATACAAAAAAATAAACATTCATGTCACTCACAACAATTAACCGGGATCACACATTCATTTTTTTATTCATGATACACCAGACGGGTAGACGGAAACTTCAGCATTCATTTCCTTGCACAATCCATGAGTCTGCTGTAGCCAAGGTTTTCGGCATGACATCGTTATGACATCACCAATTTCTCATTACAATCTGCTGCACAGTAGCTGTCAAGCAGACCAGGTGTCTTGAGATTTTTTTATGTGACAACCAAGGGTACCAATCTCCTTTCAGGTATAATTCCCTGAAGTGAAACAGCACAGTTGACATATTTTTTTTCCAAGTTATAAAACAAATACAAAAACATTTTAATAAACTTGCTCATTTTATAATAATCACACGGCAAAATGAAATCACAGTAGTAACAGGCACGGTTGTGCATTCAGTTGGTGAGAAATATGTCCCCTGTATCAGATGCAACTTTCTGGAACAATGTAAATGTATTTTGGAGAAAATAAAAATCTCTAATTACTACAAATAACAGAGCATCACATGCAACAGCCGTACGGTTTGTTTACAGTCTGATGCCAGGTTATTTTTCATCATACCAGTGAACATGTTGTACTTGGGTTGCTACTTAATTCTTCACTCTGACCTTTGGCTGGAAGTAGTGCCAACAAATAATGCATGCTGAAATATCGTATTTAAGGTGCTGGCTCAAGCACAGCTTGAAACCATTTATTTGAATTTCGGGGGAAAAACATCACTTGCAGACCAATGTAAAAGTGCGTTTAGACCAAACTTTACATCAATACCGTTTGTAATTTGCAGTCTTAAGTGACCGAAACAGTTGCACATGTTAGCATCTATTCACATTCAATGTATTTAAGGTTATCTATGGAAACAGACAAGTCACACTAGTCTTGAAACTAACGTCATATATGCACAACCTTGAACCCAAACCAGGCTGAAGTTGCCAGAAATACTTGACAGTTTGACAAAGCTACTGGTGAATTGACAACAATGTAAATACTACCAGCAGCAGTCCACAGAGTATTCAGTGTCTAAAATGGTACCTCAGATTAGTTTGTACGAACCAAACCACAGTCTGTAAGTAATCAACACTTTTCCAAATACTTTTCCAACTTCAGCCTTCAGTTTTGGGTTTACTGACCACAACAGCACGCTTAACTTCTTGGTTGTGTGCGGACCTTCAAGATTACTTAATAATCACTCATTTGGTAGCCAAGCTTTTGAAAGCAACTAGCCCCATTACACCACAGCCTCTATACTTCCACAGCCAACAAGTTAAGGAAACTTCTTTTTTTTAATTCATTTTCACAGGAAGCGTTACTAAGCTTAGAAATTAGACATCGACATGCTTTGAAAGTCATCTGCTTGGAGTGCCAAGACACTCAGGAGCCCTTGAGTGATGATAGACCGGCCCTCATGATTTCATCAACGAGGAGAAGGTTTCCAGCAATTACCGTACTGCCAAAGAAACAGAGAAGTCCAAACAGATCTTTGATTTGCAAAGACAAACTGAGTTCAACTACCTGAAATGGTATCTTTCTGATGTGTTACTTTAACCTAACCCTGCCAGACGCAGCACAGTGCATCAGGTAAAAAGACTAGTGCACTTTGATGCACTGGGCAATTAACAGCAGCCAAACAAACTGGCCATGTTGAGACAATGGGAGCTAGACAGCTAGTCACATTGAACAATGCCACTGTTGGATCTTGTGGTGACTGGCAACCACAGACTCTCAGGCTGTTTGGCCTTGGGGAAAGTTGACAAGTTGGATCTTGTTACACTGGGCAGGCGAGCCACTTTAACAAACCATGCAGTCTGATGTGTCTGGCAGGGTTCCTAGCCAAGTACCCCGGAAGGTTAGGGCTACAATGCAAAGTAAGAATATTTTGAAGAGTAGAGAAACAGGGAATTTTCTGAACTCACCAAGAATGAAGAATTTGTTTCTTAACACAGTAGTTATCCCATATACCAGCGTCAGCTGCAACCAAAGCCTCACCTGTTAACAAGTATAATAAATGAAATAATTTCTTGAAACTAGCAACATATTACCCATTTGGCTTGACTCGCTTTCAATTTCAGACATTCAACTTCTACATGCCATTTCTAAATTTTTCAATTTAATGAAGTTCTAATGTTGGTAGAAAATCTAGAATGGAACAAAAACAAACAAAAGATTCTGTATATTCTAATGTATGGCCTATGCACAAAAAAAACCCCAACGGTGATGGCAACGGTGAGTTTGGAAGGGTAGGAGCAAACACTTGGAGTGACAGGGTGACAGATTGGACAGTTGATTCTAAATGACCCAGTCACTTTATGCTGAGAACTTTACTGAGGAATCAACAACGCTGACAACACCCAAAAAACACACTCTTTGCATGCACGTCCAACAGGTGTCAACAGGTAATACCAATCTGGCACAAAACCTCTGAAACCTTTAAGTGGAATTCGAGAGCGTTGAAGTCACTTCATCCCTGCTTGCCTCTCTCCATCCAGGAGGAGAGATGAACAGGCATTAGCTGGGGAGCAACCTGTGATGGACTGGCATCCAGTTCTGGAGGAAACAGATATATATAGCTTGCTTGTTAGGGATAGAGAATTAAGTATGCATTTGATCAGGACTAACCGGTGGATATATCGACTCCAACAAGCTGTTTACTCTCTGCGTACTCCTCCTGGAGCTTTACGATTACTTCTTGGGGATCAAGACCCGAGTTCTGAGCTAGGACCTTCGGGATGATCAGGAGAGCGTCGGCGAATGCTTGGACGCCTAGACGAGCACGACCTTTGACTGTCTCTTTGAATTTGATGAGGCCGGCGTGGATGGCTACCTCCAGGGCACCAGCACCGGCGACCACAGCAGCTGAGAGCGGGTGTAAGATGGTATGGAAAGTTAAACAACATGACTTTGAGATGTTCCATGCTCTTATCAATGAGTTGGGAGGATTTAAGTATCTCCACAATGTTTGAAAACGGGAATACTAGTCTTGACATTTTTTCATGGATTGGGAAATGGGTGATGTGGGAATGAATGGAGTTTGTACGCTGAGGATAACTGCGTGACGATATATATTAATACGGTACACAAGGCATCTCATGAGTAAATTTTAACACATTTTTTAAAGCCTATAAATTTTCTTCCATGTATGAACAAAAAAAATCATAAAGGACTGCTAGTGAAGTTAGAAAAAACTTCAAAGTGGCAGAACTACTAAGAGTAAGAGAGTCTGATGACTTGGCTTGGTGATGTTTTGAGGCTCAATCATTCTGTGAGGAAAAGATTGGCAGAACTTAAATGCTAGAGCTCTCCTGATATCCCAAAGACAAAGAACTGTTGTCATATAGAGTACCAAAGTGCAAAGTGAATACGTCACATGCACAATTATGTGTGTAAAAGGCATTAGCACGAGAACCAGCGCATGAACCAACATGCACACGCACTCCATTCGTTTGCACTACACTTTCTAGATCAAATGATGTCACGCTTCAGTGCTCTATACCTTGTGTAGGGAGGTTTGGGGGATCAGATGGGCTAAACCTACCATCATCAATGGCATTCTTGACGGCGCGTAAACCATCGTGGATAGCATCTTTGATCTGAGTCAATGTATGCTTGTTAGGCCCCTTGATCAAGATGGTCACAGAGCGAGGATTAGCACATTCCTCGATAAAGGTAAACTTTTCCTCTCCCTGTTGAGAAACAAAGGCAATGTCATTCAGCCATCTTGCAGGCCCTAATGGACACACTAACAAATGAAGGATAAATCCTCTCATGCTTGTCCTCGCAATATGGCAGCAATGCCCACTAAGATGGCTGCCATGTACAAGGTCCACACATTACAATAAAGATGTGGAAAGTTAAAAATGTTACATCGAGAATACCAACCATTTTTACAGTTGTACTTTTCGCAGTAGAGTTTGGTTGCCGGGTTTAGATAACCAATTCTATATATAATACAGAATTGGTAATCTGAACTCGGCAACTGCACATACATGATTACTAAAACTGCTCCACTAACCTTAACCTTACTTAAAGCTACAAAATACTACTAGGAGTAAAATGACGTCA